TATATATATATATATATCTTTGTTTATGTTCTATATGTTTAATTATGTTTGTTTATCTATGTTCGTTTATGTTTGTTTAAAATGTTTACGAACGAACATGAACAATGTAATTTGTTAAAAGAACGAACATATACAAAAAAATGTTCGTTTATCCGTTCGTGTTCGTTCGTTTGTTCGCCTAACTTAAACGAACGAACATAAATAACCCTCATTCGTGTGCGTTTACATCCCTACTCATAAAAAATATGTCCCAAACAAAAGAGTCGCAAATATATCTTCAAATGCTAAATAAAGTTTAAGACATAAAATTGGAAGAAAATGTTCTCAAACTTTAACATCAAAAAAAGTTCATTCAAATTTATGCCTCCATCGATTTATTCAACACTAAACATAATATAAACATATTTAAAAAATACTTCTAACACTAAATATAAGTTTTCAGCAAATAAGTAAAAAAACACAATATCCTAAAAACAATAAACATAAAAGACAATTATTAATAAAATACAAGCATTAAAAAAATATTTAGCAGAACATATAAACATACGAAAACAGATGTACAAGCCACTGATCCATGGGGCGGTGTTCACGCGTCCTTTGGGCTGCCACGTCGGAAATCACGCGTCTCTTGCACCACCATTCCGGATAGCCTTAAGGAAAATATAACAAGAAAAACAATATGTCAAATATGATTTATGTGAGGTAAAGAGTCCGACCATCTTCACGTTTACGGTTGGCATCCTCATAATTTACCCTTTACCCCCCTCTCTTCAATATTTTTAGACAAATCTTCACAAATACTCCATGTGACTTTTTAGAATATCAAGTTTAGTCCCAAAAAAATTTTCGGTCTTATGGAAGGTCCCTATAGTTTCAATTTCTATCGTAGTTGGTCTTTCATCCATATAAAATGACTTATCTACTCTCTTTTTTTTTCTTTTAGATTTATTAACTAATAGTTATTTTTGAAAAATAATAAAAATAAATAAATACCACACCAACCCCCACCACCACCACCACTTCTACTTCTATATCTCTCCTCCTCTTTCGCTCTCATTCATAGAGGCCTTTCCCCCTTCTTAATCGGAGACTAGGTTTCCGACACCGTTTCTAACTCACCACTCCATCTTTTCTTCTGGCAATATATTTTCTTTCTCTCATTCATAGAGGCCTTTTCCCTTTCTTAATCGGAGACTAGGTTTCCGACATCGTTTCTAACTCACCACTCCATCTGCTTCTCTTCTGGCAATATATTTCCTGGTTTAGTTTAATTGTTGGTGAGTCTTACTCCATTACAACATTAGTTCAATAATGGCATGGGAACATGTAACCTGATATAAGTTGAACGGTACCAACCTTCATGGTTGGTATCAATGAGTTACTTTTTATAAATGTTCAATTTATAAAGAAATAAGAAAGTTAGATATAATAAAGTTATGAGTTACTTTTTCAGAATTTCAATTTATAACACAGTCAATAGAGTTTAATGTCGTTCCTCAACCTTTCACTATCAATATTAGGGGCTGAGCAAAGCCTTTAACCGAAAACCAAAAAACGGATAAAGCCGAAACTGAACTCAAACCGTTGATTTTGGGTTTAGATTTTTCAACATCGAGCAATTCGGTTTAGGCTCAGTTTTCACATTAAAACTGACCCATTAAAAAAACCGAACCAACCAAATGAGTTTAAAACCGAACAGAAACTGACCCAAACCCACGGGTTTAAACCCAAAACCCATCAATTAGTTTTAACTTTTAATCTTTTTAATCTTTCTTAGTTTCTTCAAACTAGTTGGCTTTTAATCATTCTTACTTTCTTCAAACTAGTTGGCTTTTAATCATTCTTAGTTTCTTTAAACTAGTTTGTTGAGTTTAGTGTTTTTGTTAGATATTAAATTTGGTTGAATTTTTTTCATTTTATTTAGAATTTCTAAAAATGGGTTAAAACCCATCAACCCATTGGCTAAACCCGAAAAACCGACTCACGAAACCAAAAAACGAACCCAATGGGTTTCAAAACCCAAAACCGAACTTATCGGTTTGGGTTCGGTTTTACCCCAAAACCGACACAAACCGACCCCTAATAAATATTATAATTAATGTGTCATAAATATTGTAGTCGATATGTAATAATTTGGAGCTTTCGCGAGCTTAATAATCTTCACCAACTACTAAAATGCGATAGTTAAATAGTCATAAATTGTTTACTTTCCATAAACATAGAAGTTAATAAGATACTATTCACCTAGTGTATTTAACTTTCGTATACTTTTAGGTCTTTAAGTTCACTAACATTGTAAAATGGGTTATTCTAAAATATCATTCAAGATGTAAATTAGATACACAACAACCCACTAAGTGGCTAATATAACAAAAATTACCCAATACACATTGGAACGGAAACTCTGACATTGTTTTTGTTATGAGGCCAGAGTTTAAGTTGATGTACCATCATACGATGATAACATCTTGATGATATACACCCGATCTCCCACTTTAATTATCTTTTCATTTCCCTCTTCATGTACATTGGCACATACCATATTTTGTCCAAAGTACACCTATGTAAAAAAAACATTTTAAAGATCACATAAAAAAAAATTAACAAAAAATATTTCATTAAAAATGTTACCTTCCCTTGCCCCTTTCGATCTGGACACAAGACTTTCCCAGACCGAAACTTTACAAGAGATTCAGTCGGCTCAGCACCCACAACTGCATTATCCTGATTAATTGTGGGTATCTGAAAAGAAAACCATCTTATCAGATGTAAATAAATCAGGTACACAGTGGCCCACTGCAATAGAAAACACAGGTGTATTGTTTTACCTTACATCGCGAACAAAGTTTGACACCATGAAATGTTAAATATTTTATCTTAATCTCTTTCCAAAAGTCCTCAGAGAACGGTTCACAACCATCAACCAGAATGCTGAAATATGTAAATATATGTATATAAGGGTATGACATGGTGAAAATACAAAATGTTGTTGAGGGACTAAATCGATAAAATGGTGAAAATACAAGTATTTTTTTTTCTGTTTTGTATTTTTCCCATACTGAATGTATAAAATATGATACGTACTTTGGTCTAAAACGGTTTATGGGTACAGGTTCCTTGAGAACATCATTCAATGAATCTAGAGATCCCTGACCAAAAAAAAAGGTTAAAAATTTAGAAATCAAATTTAATAAAAGTTTGATATAAATACTAGTAACTTGAAAATTAACCTGGGACACTACAAGGTACGGATATCCATCAGAAAACATAACTCTGAATCCAGGTGCATAATCGGGGTCCACCACTCTAGTCTCCAATTCTGTATACACATGAGGCTAACTGGTTTATTAAATCGATTAAGACAAAAAGAAAAACATTAATGGAAATGGAATTACCTTGATTAAAGCGTACAAGGCGACTAGGTTTGCCAAGATAATTGGTGAACCATTTGGATGCTTCATCTCCCTCATCCAAACCAGATCCTGACCACTCCCAAACTGACACACCATCACATGTTTGACTTTGAGGAGGTCTACACAATGGCACCTTCAGATCATCCATCCCAGGAGCTCTTATCACTGAATTAATTTTACATTAAAGATCAATATTGCTTCATGCTGACATGTTTGGGTTTATGATGAAAAAGAAAATGGTGGAAATTAAGATTGAAAAAGAAGTTGAGAAAAATGAGATGATTAGAGGGTGTTAGTGTTAGTGTTATTTACCTAAGTAGGAGGTCTTGTTTGGGATCCAACCCACTGAAACTGCACCCTCAGGTAGCTCTACTTCAACCAGACATAACTTTGGATCCACTCTTTGTGTACAAGCTCTTCCTTTTGAGTTCACAACAACCCACTGTCTATCCCAGATAAAACCTGTATATAATGTTAACACTAAATTAGATTCAAACTTAATCAGTATTCAGTTCATTTACATAATCAAAACCACAAGTTTCTGGACACTAGACAGTGTATTGAAACTTCTCTTTATAGCATTTCACACAAGGGTTTAAGAACAAAAAGAGAAAGCACTAGTCCAGTAGTCCTCCATCTAGAAATCTCTTAAGAGAATTTGTTACAACTCAAATCGCTTGATAACTCAAGGAATGTGAATGTCACTCCTGATTTCAGTTTAAAATCATATCATGCTGACAATATCTAATTTCCGTAATGTTCAAGCCCCAAATTTTCATTTTCCGCGGGAGACTGTAGTGTAGAATCAGACAACAACAATGGTTAGGAAAGGAATGAGATATAATTACTGAAAGCTTCTGATGAACTTAACTGTAACCTAATTCAATTCGGAAAGCATGCCATATAATGAAACGAGAACGGGAGATTGGGTGAATTATATGTACAAGTGAAGTCGGAGATTTAAACTGACCGGTGGAAGAAACGGGTGCTTCTGAAACAGAGATACCCCTGCAAGATTTGATTGGATATAGGAAGATCGATTTCACTGTTGCTGCTGCTTCCTCCATAGCTTCGTTTAAGACAAAGCGACGATTAAACCTGATCCTGTGGAGAAGAAGACGTTAGATGTATTTATGTAGTACAGATAAAAATTTGGGAAAATACCTGGCAATAAAATAAAAA